AATAGTTTAAGCTTTACACTGTGGCAGCTACAATTTGCATGTCGGTTTATTGTCGAGTAACTGCGAAATTGTAATATATATATATATATTTTTTTTTTCCAGTTGAACTATCGTTGTACGCTATGTTTCTATTCAAATAAGTTCGCGTTTTGTCGTGAGGTTATGTAACAATTACGTTACGCCGGTAGCGTTTTATTTCTCGCCAGTTTAAGCGTTGTTTTCGTTAGATAATTTCCATTGCTAGTGGATTTGAACTAAGTCAGTCATTTCGTTAGTTTTCTCTAGCCACGTGCTACTTTTGTCAAAGTGTTTTACTTCCGGACTTGGCTACGCAATATACTTTAAGTTCATTTCTATTTCGAGTAAGTTTTGTACTTAGATATTCTTATTAATTATTTATTTTCAGTCGAATCATATTTACACACCTACCCATCTTTTCGTCTAAATACTTGTCTTTCTGGGAGTTAGATTAACGCGCAGTCATGTTATGGCATAAAACCTGTAGTATTTAGCTACGTACAGGATTTAATGGATAACCCCCTGCAAGTTCACCTTTATGTCCGTAAACATAGGACTGAAGGGGATGGGAAAGGGGGTGCCACCCCCTCAGATGTTTTTTACTTATGCAGTGATCTAATCTTGGAAATTCACAGTTTCGTTCACCCAATCCCTACTGCACCATGGCAGACGTTTAACTTTTGTGTGTGTCCGAGGGTTGTAGCATCTTCTAATTCTTGAATGATAAAAATTAAGCAAGTAAAAGATAAGTAAATAGACCGTTTTCCTTGTTTGCCTTTTTTTCTCTTTTATTGGTCGGCCTCCCATAGTTACGGTCTGCTCCAAGTATACTTTCCACCAGGAAATAAAAGACTGGAGTATAGCCAGGAGAAAATGTAGGGATCAAGGGAATGGTTTACTTGTCTCTATGGAAACTGAAAAAGAATGGCACTTTGTCCATAACTTAACCAAGCATCAAACAAAGCCACGTTGGTTCATTGGCTTGAAAACATTTGATGGATCTCATACATGGAGCTGGTTGAATGAAAGCATCGCCTGGGTCAACGGGACGTTAGCTGGAACATGGCGCTGGAATAATGGAGAACCAAACAATTTTAAAACAGAACACTGCGTAGAGATGTGGAAAAACGGAAAGTATAACAACATTGAGTGCCAAGCACCTAGTTATGCTGACGATCCAGGATACATCTGTGAAAATCAAGTCAGTAAGTTCATGATCATGCCGAATCTATGTTGACCCAATTAAAAAACGCAGTAAGAAAAAAAAAAGGTGTAAGTGAACTTTTATTTTGAAGCGAGTAACTCGTATTCATATTTTCTTCCTAGATTGTTCCACCATATCTAACAGTTCAGAAAATGATGATATTTTCATTGAGGCAACAACGAGACCTCGATCAACCCCCCAGCCGTTGACGACAAAGACAACGTCCACCTTACTCAGAACTCAATCGACGCATACTCAGAATAAGCTGCTTTCAGTAGGTAAGGTTTACTTCGACGGAAATTTCACATTTAATATGACTCTAGTCATATTAGATGCGTAGCATTAGTCTGATGTCGCCTTCCAAACTCCCCTCTCTGCCCACCTAAAGAGAGTGGAAACATTAGATATATATAATTTATATTATTTGAGGAGGATGAGAGAGGGGGAAATCCTTGGAGCTTTTTGGCAAATACTCAAGCCCTTCCTCTTTATGTTTGGCAGTAGCTGTAACCCTAATCATGATATATCATATAGAGATCTCAAAGTCCTTCAGAAAATCTAAATCAGCAGCTTGTTAAAGACAACTTTGATGGAGATATTAGAACAAAGTCAGTTGAGTATTCTACTATGCACAGGTTAAATCGCGTCTGAGTTTTCTGCTGGCGACTTCCAGCATAGTACAAGTACATGTTTCTTTCTTTGTTTGAGACCAAAACTACTTCTGAGTGCAATTTGCGACACACGTATAGCCGCTTGGTCGCAATCAGCCTTACTTGAAATATGCTGAGGTGAAATGTGCAGCGACACTAGAGAATCAAAAGAATTCCCTTTTTAGGACTATGTAACATTTACGTCTGGCGTTTAAGTGGATCAAAAGACTACTGAATAATGTAATCGTAAAAGGTTTAACTTATCACTTAAAACTCCGTTCCAGCTAGTGACAGAACTCTAAGATCATTTTTGCGATCTTCTCGAATCTGACCATCGGATTACACGATAGCAATAAATGTGCATACATCTACCTTACTGCTGTTTATTATTTTCCAGCCACATGTAATTACTAGAGACTTGTTCGCTATCAATTTAATACAGACAGCATCCAATATGATTTAATTAACTCCCGAAAAAGGCGTAAGGTTTTATATACCTCCTTGATATAAACGACATCATGAGGAGAGTCACTTCGTAGAGTGTTAGGTAAAGAAATATAAGATCAAACAATTAGGTTTCGATCTATTGGTATTTTGGGAGCATATAGAAGTGAAATAAATTGAGGTATTTAATAGGTTTGCGGGTAGTTCTGAATGTAACGATTTTTACAATTAATTTTCTGTATTGCTTTGCGTCAGAGTCGACTCAAAGGCCACAAACACCGGAAGTAACTCGTTTCAAAGAATCAACAACCAAGGTGGCACAAGCCTACACCCAACCAGCAAATGGAACCCTTTTTACACTGCGAAACCAACCCACATTTAATCTTCCAACACAAGGTACATTGTAACTATATCAAACGTCGTCTATGTCTATATTACAAACGTCTAAATGCTCCTAGCTGTTTTTTTTTTTGCATATCTTAATCGATGTCATTTTTTATTTGATTGCCATGGAATTTCATCTCTTTACTTCGAATGTACCAATTGAAACATGTGTTTATGGGGAATAAAAACCGCCATTCCTTTCTTTATATAACTCCTAAGTATTATGAATGACATCTCCGTATTCACCAAAACCTTTGTTATAAATCAGCAAGAAATTTAGTATAATAGTATCAGGTGTACCTTATGCTCAGTCTAATACCTTCTTCCACGAGTTGACTAGGGAAACAGAGGCGATCGATTTAAGCAAATGAAGATAGTATCAATACTGAAGATCTTAACCAAAACGTTTCGGGCTGAGAGGAGTAGAACTGTAACTCAGTAGTTTATGAAAATTTGAATCTCTAATATTTCAATAATCGATCACAGTTCGTGAAAAGCAACATTCTACTTCACTTGGTTATTAACGTACCTTTATCTGCCTTTTTTCTTTTTTTCGTTTTAGTGTCCATTTGAACCTTTTTGGGTTCAATCAGCCTTCCCCTCTCAAAAAAAGCTAGATATATATTTTTCCTTTCTTTTCTCGTTCAGGGACTACGTTTGAGAATACCGTTAGTGAATCTTCTCCGCGAAATGTTTCAACTGGCAAGTTAAACTTGGTGTGGATCATCATAGCGCTTCTGGTCATTTTTCTCTTGGCAATTGCAGTCGTACTCGGAATATTTTTTTTTCGGCGACACCAAAGTCGCAAGAACCAAGGCAAGCTTCTTGCATCATTTGCCTATTTGCATATCATATATATATAATATTTTTTATTTTTTTAATTTTTTAATTTTTTAATTTATTTTTTTTAATATGATGAGCCGAATATCGAAGCACAAAGCGGAATTTTATTCCCTTGTCTGGTGTAGTGCACTTCTTAGTTGATGTGAAGCCTTTAGCTTCTTCACAAGGCTAGTTCTTCCATCAAATGGCATAATTTTCATGACGGAATGCATCCTCATTACACTCGTTCCTTATCTATACCCTCCCCCTCCTACAGAGATTTCAGTTTTCAAAAATGGCATAATATAATGTGCCTTTGTCTCGCATTTCGCCGGCACGTTCGCTTTTCTTCAAATGTTATTTTGACTGTACCTTGATCCTTGGTGTTTAAGGTGAATTCTTCAACAAGCATTTTACTGTGCTTTTGGATTTTTGGAAGATAGAAAATGTGGAGTAGTTCCCATAGTTTTTAAAGTTTTTGATTCCTTGTGTGCATGCATTATAGATAATTCACTGGGTTCTTTTAATACCTCCAGTTTTCTGATCAATTTCAGTGAATATGGTAAAAATTTGAATAAATAATTAACATATTTGGCAAAATCTTCCAGAGAAAGTGGTAAGAGTATCTGATGGGGAACAAAATACCTCACTCCCACTTGGAATTAAGATCCTGTCCCCTTCCTATTACACTTTGGGAGGGGAGGGTGCGTAGAGTATAGATCTGAGGGATGTTGATATGATATTTTCGCTTGTTATTAACGTGTACGTTCTTCCTTTTTTTTCCAACGGCAACGACGATATTGATGCGTTTTATCATGAAAATAACATCACGGCAAGTAGTATATAGTAGTGCACGTTAATCTTTAGTACTCCGTTGACTGGTTTTTTTTGTTTTGTTTTTTTTTTGTTTTGTTTTTTTAATAAACCTATTAATCTTATTCCTCCGGATTTTAAACGTGGAGAGCCAAGGGAATCGTAAATAAATCATCCGGAAAATTAAGTGTCCATGATAAGCTTTTAAGTGATGGCAGAACATTTCTATTTCGGGTTTGAGTCAAAGCTGCCCTGGATTTTAAGATCATCATTAAAATGACACAGACAAAAACTATGCAAATGTACCCAACGAGGCCCTATTTTTTTTTTTTTTCAGTGGTACTTATCAAGTGATAATAGCAATCATTTTTATCGTCTAGAAAATATATTTTTTTCGTCTAAACCTAATTTCTGCCGAACCATTATAACCTTTTCTCGGTGGTTAATTTGAGTGTTATTTCCATTTGATGCATCATATTTCCTTTAAAGTGTGCATGTGACTTAGATCCTTAACAGTATGTTACTTCTTTCCTGAAATCTACGTTCGAGGGCAGAATACCATGCTACACTAAAGCAAAACTGCAAAAATTTGAGCTTTATAAATATATCGTAATATATCCTTATCCCGCTAAGTGATAGAAAATATCATTTTTACTTACAGATGACCTTCAGATCACCTTCACGATCGGGTCAATTGCACCTACGAGATGCCCCTTAGTTCCGAACTGCAATCGTTCGATCCTGTGCTTGTTCAACAAATGCAGAGCTCTGCTGAGCTTACTGTACACTTAACCCTTTCGCAAACGGAATCTGGGCCGGCCATGTATGAGACATTGAGCGACTGCGAAAAAGAGTGCGAGTATGATGACGTAGATGAGACCAATCGAAAGTCAAGGTCAGTCAACACAGTGTTGGTGAGTGGGGAGAAAGGAATAGAGCAGCCACCTGCTTTGTGCGATAAAAAAGAAGAAAACAAGGATCATGTTTACGCTGTTGTTCATAAAGAAAGAAAAGGTAGAGCCAGTTCTGAAGCAAGCGCTCCCAAAAAATCATCAGACCGCCCTCAGGAAGGAACAAGTGGGTTACCTTTGAACAGGGGGTCCTGTGTCGATTGTATCGGTCGTTCGTCGCATCCAACTGATTCAGGGCTCCAAAACAACATAAATATTGCAGAGAGCGAGACACTTCAGCCTAGCGGGAGCATCGACTATTTGTATGCAGCTGTTGACAAGACAAAAAAGAAGAGGAAAAAGCCACAGGTAATAATTACATTTCACAAATCCTGAGAAAACTTTTTTGTTGTTGTTGTTTTTCTGTTTTGCATTCAGTGCTGTTTAATCTACCGAAAAATGTATTTACATTCGGCGAAACTAAAGTGTAAGTGGCAGTGACAAAGGATGTAAATATTTTCCTATTGGTGTGTTAGCACGTGGGTCGCTATGGCGTTAATTGAGTCTTTTGTTGTGTGGCGTATTTAAGGTTTGACGTTTGTAATGTATTCATCTCAGGTCTCGAGCTATTCTAGTTTTACGTTACATTTTATATTGCATGTAATTAAACTGTTTTACCTCTAACCCCCAGAGGTTGGTGAGCCTGCATTTGGATGGGGAATACGTTCTCATTTTTCCCATCGGGTTTTTTGGGTTTTCGTTTCAGGCGGCGGCACAAAAACGTTTTAGCCGAGAGGTGATGACTAGTTGTTTACTATTCTGTGTAACTTTATCGGACGGCATTAAATACTCGGGCTCCTAGTTCGAGCTGCACACTCACTCTTGTGTATGAATCGTGAATTGAAATAGGAACTGATTTTGATACAAAATATAAAGCGATGACGTCAAGAGAGCAGTTGAAATACGGCAGCTTGACTTGCTTTTAAGTATGTAAAGATTTCTTTATAAACTGCAAAAGTATATGAAAACTAACAGACAAACGAACAAAAATAAGACCAAAAACAAATCTCAGCAAAAAGGCAAGACTGATCCTGTATATTGTATTCGTTTTGCTTTTTCCTCATTAGCTAATATGTTGCTAATGTTATTTAGCGCCACTGGTTTCACGAATTACTTATAAGATATCATCGACTTTCTATGTTTGATCTAGAAGCCCCCTCCATACAATGATCATGTGTACACAAGTCTGGTCCATTCCCGAGAAAGTAGCGCAAAGCTTGTCAGAGAACAGTCCCAAAATAGTGTACGCCCAACTTGATGACGCCGAGACAGCAAGCGTGATGATATCACGGCAGAATCTGGAGGAAAAAAAGAAAGGCAAACATCAGTGAACTCTGTTCGTTTTCAATCCTAAAATAACTTCACGAAGAACATAAAAATTAACTTAAACTTTGTAGAAAAATGATAAATTGTCGTGGAAACAGTTATCAGTAATCATTTGTTCTGTCATTACAAATAATGGCCTTTTTTAGTCGAAATAGTTTAAATGGATGTTATGGTGATGATTGTAACAATATGAAATGTTGTGTACTAGAATATTTAGGATAATTCACTTTAAGGTACATGGAATACCGAAAAAAAACCAGTGTTACTCACAAGAGATAAGTTTGCATAGCGATTAGTTGGAGACCAGCGTACTGCGCCAAGGCGTACTGAAGGAAAACCTTTCAAAAGGTCAAAGTACTTTGAACTTGGTGTTAAGTTAAGTAACAGGGAAGCTTTCTCTTTGTAAAGTTATACCATCGAATGAAGTCAAGAGACTATAATCGTTTGGTAAAGTATAAAACTTTGAAATATCCTTAATTTCTTTTCGCTTTTTTAATGAAGCTATAAATTCTCAAGGTCTGATGACTTTTAATCTGCGACGTTAAATATTTCAAATTGTAGTACTCGCTTTAACGTTGGTATTTTCAAAGATCATGGTATGGTGTATCATAAAACAAAACACGATGATCATGAATAAAAGAACAATTTGATTTAATCAACGAGAAATATCTGATAACCTGATTAGAGTATTTGCGAATGAAAATGACACAACCATCTGCTAGTAAATTCTGGACGGAAGGGTACTCCGGCAATGTTTTATGTGTTTTATATGTATGAATTAAATAATGTCTCAGTCACTAAGCTTTGAAATACAAGAGATCATGATCAGTTATCTTCCAAACTGGCTATTCGCGTAAAGGACATCGGTAAACCGGCTTGAGTAAGACAGCAATCAAACGTCTGGTACGTGTAAGGGATCAATTTTAACCGGCCGAGCGCCAAATTCCAGCTCAAAATTTCAAAGGACAACTTAAAAAGACAACTGCTGTCCTGCAAAATGGAGAAAAGAATATTGAACGTTTATGGAAATCTTCTAACCGCCTAAAAATAGTAGTTAGTCGATATAATACCCTTCACAGTAAAAATGTTTTCATTTTATCACCATGAAAAGGAAGGGAATTAACCATTAGCCGTAAAATAGCCAAATTTTTTTACTTCGGTAGAAAAAGCCATTATCTCACTGATCCCTCCTTTAAAAGAAAACAAATGAATATTCCAGATTTTTTTTTTTAATACAACGAGTTATATTAAACAGGAAAAAAAAAATGACTTCCAGCATGTGTAGCTGCCTGTAACTCGTGTGAGGCTACATTGATTTGACAGCCTGAAAGCACGCCACCTGATCACCACCAGTTTCACACATGCAAAAACGTTTGACTGTTATGTCCACTTGGCTGTACCTCGCAAGCCATTTTTTTTCTTTCCTACCACATTTTGTCGTAACATGTGATCTATTCCTAAACAGAGGTACGGTAACGTGGAGTTCATTTGTTAATGAGATAGTCATAACTACAAACTTCCCGTTGGGTCATACACTGTATTATAGATTACGGCCTTTCTCGCGAAGTTGATGACCAAAAATAAATGTGCGTGAACGTGTATCAGTTGGTAGCGACAGTGTATCGAGTTCTCTCGTTAAGAAGAATCGATGCAACTCTTGTTATGGATGGCAAAGGAGCAACTATAATCGATCATCAATGGTTTATCGATGGAAAAGCCTGAGCCAATGATCAGAGATTCTGGGTCATGGGAAATTTCAAACCCGATTTTGGAATAATAGAACAAAATGTTGTTAATTTATCACGAACGTGTTGCAGAAAATGTGATTACAATCCGTATGAAAACCCCATGGTCCAGCCCATTTAGCAAGTTCTTTGTCGCTCAGCCGATTTCTCAATACGGACTAATATTTATTTCTTCCATGTAACAAATAGAAAACACTCTTCATCATTTTTACCCCCTTCCCATGCTGCTTGACCTCGTCACCTACATCCCTGTTTCTAGTCCATGGCTAATTCTACTGTTTTCTCAAAAAAACAAAAAAAAAAACCACAAAAAACTCATTTTCCTCAAGATATCGCCAGCAACCTGCAAGGATTATGAACAATTAGGACGATAGATCGGAGAAAACAAAAATAGAAAATGTAGTACGTCAGAGTTAGGTGGAGCCTTTTCAAAGCACCTCCTAAATCAGTTAACAAAGTGACGCAACAAACCAGAAAGCTCGTGGAGAAGTAAATAGACAGATATGATCAGGACCTCAACATAAGGAAATGAGCCAACGTATCACGTGGGCTAAATAATTTAGTGAGAAAAGATACTTCTCGAGATTCGAGGCGTAGGTAAGTCGAGATCGCATTCATTCGACCAAATTTTTCAGAGTCCGATAGGAATCATCCGATCACTTGCCTCGCTCTACTGTATGCCTCGTAAAACGCTTTCCTGTGAGACACAAAATGACTTTTGTTAGATTGACAAATCACTCTTCGTTTATTATGATGGCTGGCTGAAGATCTAAATCTGGTTAACTCAGTGTTGAATCTTAACAAGAATTTCGAACACGACATAAATTGTACAATCTTTCGGGAAAAGAGTCTCTGACCCAAATATTTCCGGAAAATGGGGTAAGAGAAATATATAAAAATAGATTTTTATGCAATTGAATAAATACATGGATTGCGTGACTTTATTAAGATTGATTGAAAATCATGAAGTCTGAACTTATGTCAACTGAAAAACACCCCAAACTCCTGAATCTAGCTTCTATGTAAATATCTTACTCGATTGAAAGCTTTAATTCATCAAAATCATATTACGCATCGATTTATTTATACTTTTCTTTTTTTTATTGTTTTTTTTTTGTCAAGCGTTATTATCGCTTAAGCGATAATCAGGCAGAAACCCAATTTACAGACGAGGTGACCGCAATCACTTTCAAATACATGTCCATATGCACGTAGGTTTAAATTTCCCTTGACTCGTTCGAATATTCTTGTCTCGAGCAATATCAAACAGTTAATAACTCATACTTTCAGGACTTGTATTTGCATTTAATTGTCCCATCTATTTTAAAAAATGTGCCAGGATACAAAAATTTTCGAATTGGAAAAGCATCAGCCTTCTTCATCAGTTTCAGACTTCCTGACATCTTTTCTTTCGCCAGAAATTTATGAAACTATATTTAATGAGGGTATTGATAAAGAAAAGAATATAAATATACTTATCATTACCACATCTAAATCTTTTGCGACATGACAGAATGGTTACAATGGTTAGAATGGTCACACTCATGTGATTACCCTTACATGCTATATCACGTCACACCAAGAACTCGCCCACACCAGCTGACTTATATTTAATTAACAAAAGTATGTCGTTTCTACTAATTAAGAGCCATTTCGTGCAGATACTACAGCGTATTGACATACAGTGTTTTGTTCGCAAGGGGCAGCGCAAAATGAAAGTCCTTGACCGCAATTTCAGTTCAAGTCGATTATGCCCGGTAGATGCGGTATATTGAATTATCTTGGATGTATGGCCAAATACATCTCCTATACCATCAAGTTTTATGAAGATGTCTAACTCTACCCTGAAAGTTTTATCGCTGCATAACTTGACCACGTATCTTAATTTCTACTTTCTCAAAGCTTTGGTTACTAACAGACCTTGTTTCCTTGCCATTTAATTTTTTGGTTTCTTTTTTGGGCTACTTCATAGAACAATGCGTTCAAGCGATGGGAGCAATCGTCGTGCGGAGTGATATTGAACTGAAATAGACAATATTTATTAATGATTAAGAGAAATCATCTCTTATTCCTATAATTTAAGACACTTCACTGCTATTGAAATCGAAATTTTAGAATGTGTTTAAGGAACAGAGCTGACGGAAGATTTTTGTTCCCAATATGGCAAGACTTCCAAATGCCATTTTAATGAACCACGCGCTTCAGTTCGTAAAACAAAACAAACGAGACACAGGCTTCATCCCGCTTGTTCTGTTGTTATATGCGGCTACAATATCATTGCCGATAGAAAATTTTCTCTGAAAATTAGGTAGCCGCAGTTTGATGAAATGTATCCCCTGCGGAAAACCTTCCTAAGGCGGGAAAAGAATTCAAGTTGACTGAACAAATTTGTTCGCCGGCTTTCAATCGCGCTGTTGACGTTATCATCAGGAAACTATCATTTTCCGGGTATTAACTATAAAGGAAAACCGCCGAATAATGGAACGGAGTACTTTAACCACCGACTGAAAAGCAACGGGAGATTTTGGATTGCCTATCAGAAAATGTTAGATAGTGTTCGCATAATGTCGCTTTTTTCAAGAGTAAGAGCTCATTTACCGATTAAGTGAACATCATTTTTTTTTTTTTTTTGACACGACAAAATGCTACTTTGCAATTTCCATGGTTAAGATCATGATATGTAAACGCCTTATAACGGTGAGTTACCCAGCTTTCCTTATAGATGAACGTTGTTGTGGATTTCTTTTAATTGAAGTTTGATTATAACCACGCTTACACACGCGTGATTCAGATGAGGCTCTTTAAACGTACAGTAAAGTTAATCATAGCAAATTCAATAAATAGCTGAGGAAACCAATAAAACGGGTGAGCAATGCCTGTGCTGTTTTATTTACACTTCATAAAGTTTCATTCTTCGTTATTTCAGCCTAACGTATTCAGGCGGATAACTTTGGTTTAAATGGAAAACAAAAAAACAACAACAACAACATCAAACAAAAACAAACAAAACAAACAAACAAACAAAAAACCATAATCGTTTCTTTTAGATGGTTTTCCGATGAGAGCTTGTGCAAAATGTTACGCAGGAATAACCAAAAAATTTCAGCTTCACCAAACCAGCACATTGAGGCATACAATTTTAGTCATTTCTTTATTTAAACTGTCTCTTCCCTCTCCAATGGATTTTTTTTTTAAAGTGTAATGTTAAAAGCGAAAAATGCTGGACACCATGGAGGCCAAATTTCAGTTTCCCTGTATGGCAGACAGTAAGGAGAATTACCAATGAGATCTTGGGAGTAAAAGGGTTAAAGCCGGTTTTTCGTTTGATTTCTGTTGACAGAAAACAAACGAAAAACCGGCTGTTGTTTGTGTCGCTGTATTTTTTTAGCAAAAATGAAGCGCATAGTACTTCAAAATAGATTTAGGAGGTAATGCCACATCGAAAAAAACAAACAAAACAAAAAAAAACAAACAAAGAAACAAAAAACTTCCGTCAGCTCTGCTCCTTAAACACCATATAAAATTTTCATTTCAACCTTACTGAACATTTCGATCGTATCTGCGCTAAACTGGAATCTACGGGATATTATGAGGACCGCTCTTTGCACTTTTTTACTGTTTGCATTTGGTGTTGCTAATGCTACTGAGGACCCAGTCACCGATGGTAAGCACAGTCATACCTAAGTATATAATTTTACTTTGAATTCATCTTGGTAAAATACAAACTGAACGTAATAAAACGTGTACACTGAAATATATATATTTCCGAGATCGTTTTTAAGTATGGAAAAATTCCACGCGTTTAGAGAGATGCATGTAGGCGAAAAATCCATGGGAAAATCGTAGCGTCGTTCTGTCGTTTATTACTTTCAAGATTTGCTACAATCAGGAAATAGGGCTCTTGTACAGAACAAAACATTCATTAGTCTATAATTTGATTATTTATTATCATTATCGCACAGTTCCTAATAGGGAAACTGTAACAGAAGAGGAGATTTTAAAGTCACATGTCGCGTGCTTGTTGACGTACAAGTTCCCGTGTGTAACGACTTCGGCTTTTCCAGACCGCGGATGACGGGAAACTCTGCCCTCCTCATTTGAAGGGAAATATCAATAGCCCTATAAAATTCATTAACTGCGCCATGTTTCCAGAAAATAAGACTGGACAATATTTTTCCACTTCCCACCACCAAGAAATTCCACGCTGAAATAGTATTTATGGCGTGACTGCATGACCTTGCACGAAAAGTAAAAATTGTTTATCTTTTTTTTCACGAAAACACTTCTGTAAAGTTCTTAATCCTTCTGTTACTTTATTTGCCTATTTTTTGACTGCAAATATCGTCTGTATTTGCTATTATTTTCGCTGATTATCATGGCCTTTCCTGCGTGCACGTGTGAGCCAGTTGATATACAGCACTCTTTCAAATTTCTTTGCGTGGTGTCGGGCTTAAGTGTGTAGGTCTGGCTCAAAAGATATCTGCACGCTGCAACTCGGGTTCCTATTTTTTTCTTCTTTTTCTTTATTTGCATTTGTATTCTCTTTCTTGCATTATCGATATCATAAAGGTATGTTTTTTTTAATTCCCTCAACGCATTCCCACAGATTTGGAAGTAGGTTTTGAATAGTGAATATTGACCAGAACTGAAACCTTTTCTATCACTATTTGTTTCAAAGAATCCCTGTTATCTATAACTTTATTTCTCAAGAAAATTTATTTTTATTTGTTATTTATTTCCATTAAAAATGAAACTAGGTCCCGATAAGTTTTTTTTGTTTGAGACTCCCAAAACTGTTTGCGACAACATCAATCTGGAAATCAAAAGCAATTACGACTGAGAAATTCGCTTTTAGCCTCCTAGCCGCTGAAGGCAAATCCGTGCAATGAAGCGCTCTAAGACCTCTATAAACTAGAGACATTGCGTGGACGAGAACGTAATGTGTTGAGGGGTCAAATATTTACACTTAATCTGTGACCCTCAAGCGGATCACGTACTCGTACATGTAACGTCCGAAAAAATGTCACGCAGTGCAGCAACGTTGGTGCACCTGGCGAATTCTTTCCACTAGATTCGATAGTAAAGAGACAACTTATTTACTATTTGTATATGAGCAAGCTTATTTACCCTATAGATAGATACAAGTTTTTACTTTCTCAGTTCGTGCAGTGATGCTCATTAAGGGTGCGTTCCTTTGCGAGAATCCGGGTCAGGATTTCTGATCTGTGGCGTTCCTTTCGAGCAAATCCATTTCCAGATCAGTGATCTATCAAATCCACTCTGGACATGGATACATCGGATTACTGATCTGCGTGATCTAAAGACGGATCATTGATCCAACGCGTTCCTTTGGTCGAAGGATCCGTTTATTAGTCATTTGGCCCAGCGGTGCCCAATTTCAAACAAGTAGGCAATTGATCCACAAATTCTGCGATAAACACGAAATAAAATCGATTTGTAAAGTTAAGTCGATCGGCAACTGATCGCAGGCATTCAGAGTTCCCAAGTATCCATATCGTAATCGATACTTGCTTCTGTTTTAATTCCATCGTTTGAGTTTACCATGAAAAATGTGCTTCTAATAAATAGTGCTAATTAGAAAAATTGTGTCCGCTAAATGCCCATGCAGTTAGACGAGCCATTCAGGGAAGAGCTCAATAACCCACGTGCATACACAAGTCTTAAAATAGCGCACTTTTTGGAATTCTCTGAGAGCTCGCCTAAAACTCCGTTCCTTTTGTGCACCGTGATCTGTGTGATCTTGGATCACAAATCCTAATCTGGATCCTCCCAAAGGAGCGCACCCTAATTTGTTCCGTCAAAAACGCTTTTAATGAGAAGTCACGTCCACCCCGACAGAAAAATTAAGCTCACCCTGTCATAGTCAATGGTTTGATACCGTTAGTACCAATTAAGGTACATCATTGCGCTTTGATCGAAATGTGCGTTTCCTCACGCTCGCCACATTTATTCTTTGAAAAATTATTTTACTGGAGGGCGATGACGCTCAGTTTGGCGCGTCTTGACTCTGGCCGACAAAAATCATCGAGGTGAGCCCCATTAATTATTGTTAAATGTTAGTTGTTCTCCAATTCTCTTTTTTTGCGTTGCCACAAGCCAAAAATGATTTTTGGCCAGACCACCCCTCTGGACAGTGATCGAAAGTGTAAATTTCAAAGATTTTGTCCAGTGCGCAGCGACTGCAACAATGTAGCTCACGGAATTCTATCTTGCTGCAAGTTATAAGGTGTATTCAGTTAGTTCACAGACAAAATATGGAAACTTCAGCTGAAATATTTTTCATACATGCGTGATCAGAGGAGACCCTTCTCTTCGACCTCAATTTGCATATCAAAAATTCACTATTTTGTACGGTAGAATTCTCAAAATGCAGGAGTTAATCGGAATGAAAAAGTATATCAGTGCATAGTTTACACACCAATGAGGTCACAGATTGCCTCAAATCCGCGGGTATATCTCTAGCTTCCATCCACCAACTTCTTAAAAACAACGCAAATCCATGTGTTTGCTCAATTGCGCTTGTGTCAAAGATCATTTGTATTATTCTTAGAATTGACCAAGATCTCCTTTTGACCGTTCAAACTTCGTGCGTTTATCTTCTACGTTGAGGATTTTAGGTTTTCACAGCAATTGAACGGAGATTAGAGGCCGAGTTGTCCTAAAACGTTGCGTAAACGTGATCGGTCGTAACGCTTGCGCGCTTGCGTGACTTACAAAGTAGACAAAGGTGATCGGAAGGCGCCTTTTCGATAATTTACGTTGAAATATCAAGTGATGAACTACGTACAGTGTAGAGAAGATCAAAATTAAAGAATAAAATTTGGCACTCTGATCAAAATAGACATATTGCGTTGCTTAAAAGGACACAAAAACAAGTTAAAATAGGTTACAGTGTTTATATTTACAAAACAACACGCATACACTCTGAAATAATTATTGGAGTTTCTCCCGAGATTTAGTATACGGAACCCGATGAACTAACCCTCCTTTCCGCAGATTTTTTTCCGTCACTAATGATGTTACGCTCTTATGGACCACAACGGTTTTGAGCGACAAACTCGACATTACCCTGCGACCATCAAAATCAACTGGACAAACCCAGCTTGATATATTGCGTGACGGGGAAATTTTTCCCCTTGCCATATGGCTTGTTTCGCGGGTTCTACAAATGGAAACCAAAATTAGTTAGTGTAACGAATTAGAATCGAAAGTAATTAACATGGACTGAATTACATTTTAATGAGAATTTTAACTTTTAAAAAGGTCTACCTGATTCATGGAAAGCAAAGATTGGAGTGGCTTTGGGTATTTAAGCCCTGATTTCTCTCCTGTAATGCCGGTGTCACAACTTTCCTTTTAAGCATCCTTTGTATCATACTTGGTAACTAATTCTATTTGCAAGCTTTTTTGTCGATGTTCTATCGGCAGAAATATTGGACAAGATGGCGGCCGCGCTTGCGCATTTCATCTATAATGGCGTCCAAATAATATAAGAAACTGTATGGAAATTTGTAAAATTTCTAAAATATAAACAATCAGGAGCTCATGGTCTGGTCTGCTCTCGATCGAGACATATTCAGTACTGATTCTGCTATTCAAAAAACCTCACAGGGACTCGATAAATAAAAACCACTTACTTCCCGAGCCAGTTCTTTTGTTATTGATCATTGACCTAGGTCGCCACACAGTTCTTCAAAATCCGTCGTTCTCCATCCCAAACACTCGCTTATTACAGGAAAGTGCATCAATAAAGTCAACTGCTCTCGATCGAATTGACTGCTACAGAGTTCGAAGCGTCCAAATATCCTATAATTGCCTTTTCCTCCCATCAAAAAACTTCCCAACGCGCCAGAATATCCCTTATTTTCCATGTTGAGTAAGTGACGAGACGCCATGTTGAAAACTATGACTGAAATAGTTCAACACGAGCAACGCTGATCTTCGAATCGTCGGCCATATTTGTTTATGTTCTTACAGGGAAATAAACTAGTTCTCAGGTCCTTTTCGGAATAAAAATATGCCAGGCGCGCGAAAATTACATTAAAGTAAATCAAAATTCTGATGTCATGTCATCGCTTTGCCTCGAAAAATCCCAAAGATTTACTTGCAGGTCTTCTTTTCTTTTTCTTTTCATCAAAATAGAAGATCTGCGGTGCTCAAATTGTATAACTCATGGTACGAAACACTCTTCCTTGCAGATCGAGCCGTGATCGCCACCATATTGAATTCTCTTGATATTCTATTGTTCCGGAGTGTTATATGATATACCGGTGATAATTGTTAGCGGGCTCGAAATGTCCTTGATTTCTAGCGATGGTTTCAATCACGACACCACACTCCTCAATAAAGGTTAAAAAAAAAACCCAGCCATTTCGTTCCAATTCTTCCGCATTTACTATAGCGAGTCGTACAGTATACGTAAGAATTAGATTTGAACAAACTACTCCATTCGAACTATTGAAATTGTTACAATAAATCTTTGCTTCTTCTGATGCGAATCAACATTGGCACGAAACGTCATAACAATAGTGGAGACTATTGCGTCCAGTCACAAAAATAACTCTGATTAAACAATTTTTTAACAAGAACGAAGAAACTACTCCTATTACAAGTCCTTCGTTAAGCCTATGATAAGTAAAAATGTTTTTATTCTGAACTATTGGAACTCTCAGCTTATTTTCAGATGCAAATCAACATTAACGTCAACGTCTTAACAAAAGTGGAGACTATTATATCGAACTCAATCTTGTTTTCTAATTTTAACGATTATTAACAGTTGAGGGATCCGAAATAACACCTCAATAATTACGAAGACGTCTACAGTCTGGCAATCTGCACACAATGCAGAGCCACTCGCCCTCCGGGGCAGTCTTAAATCCCTCGCAGCTCATGTGTAACCATTCCTCTCACAACTTGCACTGTACCACGTCGTTCCAACACTCGGGCATTGAACAATGACAAAATAAATTAGTTTCACAAGTTTGTCTCTTATTAAATCTGGCGGTGTTCGACCATCGCGGAAAAGGTTCAAAACCAAATTCTTGCCCATTTTCCCTTGGTCAAAAGAAATATCCAACGGGATGCCAGTTCGTATACATTAGCGATACGCATGTTTTGAATTAAAAACATATTTTAGTACGCGCTGGAACGTAAAGTATCATCCATTTTTACTAGAACGTTAAGGATGATGTTTTCACTCAGTTTTGTTGGGGGGTCCAAATCCGCGGGGGCGGGGGGGGGCCCATATCCGCTAGCGGATTTGGACCGGGGGGTCCAAATCTAGGGGAGTCCTAATCCGCTGGGACACCGGGACGACGTATCGAATCATTTGAAGTACTACCAGCTATCCAGCGAAATCCTCGATTACCAGTTAATTTTGTTTCGTTCCGGTCATTTTGACCATAATAAGGAAAAAAAAATAACGGTTGTTATAATGTTCTAAACATCCGAACACTTTAAGAAACATTGGAAATGCGGTGAAAGTATTTGTTAACAGCCGCAGCACAAGGGAAAATGTGAGGCAGTAAAAGAAAGCCAGACTGACTGGAGATGTTTCTGAAGTTTTCGTAGTTAAAATTGTAGTCGGATCACATGGGTAATATATTTTCAATTTCTCGAGAGTGAAGGCTATTATTTAACTAAAAATTGGTTCGTGAGTGCCTATCTGTGCTATCTGCAATAGCAGACAAAACCAGAATTCTCTTGACAAAATCAAAGGACAAATTGTGTCATAACGAATTTTTATCTCGATTTTTGCATCCGCTTAAAACTTCAAAACTGTCCTTGATCTTTGACACGAGCGCAATTGAGCAAACACATGGATTTGCGTTGTTTTTAAGAAAGGGTGGATGGAAGCTAGAGATTAACCCGCGGATTTGAGGCAATCTGTGACCTCATTGGTGTGTAAACTATGCACTGATATACTTTTTCAGCCCGATTAACGCCTGCATTTTGAGAATTCTATCGTACAAAATAGTGAATTTTTGATATGCAAATTGAGGCCGAAGAGAAGGGTCTCCTCTGATCACGCTGGTATGAAAAATATTTCAGCTGAAGTTTCCGTATTTTCTCTGTGAACTAACTGAATACACCTTATAACTTGTAACAAGATAGAATTCCGTGAGCTACATTGTTGCAGTCGCTGCGCGCTGGACAAAATCTTTGAAATTTACACTTTCGATCACTGTCCAGAGGGGTGGTCTGGCCAAAAATCATTTTTGGCTTGTGGCGACGCAAAGAGAATTGGAGTACAACTTAACTATTTTTGAAACATGTGTCCTATACCCTTTTCATGGGCAAACAATAAAAGAAAACTTTTTTCCGACGGGAAGTCGAGAGGACCGCTCTTAGCGGGAGCGGCACTTAAAAACTCTGTCTATCCTTGGTTTGCACGCAGAAAAAAAAAAAGACAAATTCTTAACGGTATTTTAAAATGTTTTATTCATTAGTCAATTTACAGCCCGAGGAAAAAGCAAAATTGAAACAACCGACGTATCGGTCAAATGAATTCCAATTTTTTCAACAAGGAGTTTGTAAGTTCATTTTACCAGTAAATTTAACAGGGGGTCAATGTTTTGTGACAGCCGAAGATAGACTTCTCTGAAATGCCTCTGAAACTCTTAAAGAGTTTACACTTACGGTAATATTTTCCTCCTTCTCACAACAGCGCAACAGATATTGTTAATCCCATGTAGTGCACGTGTATCAGTTGTATTACGTCTTCATAGTGATGCCATATAAGTAATCGAGTATCTAAAAAGCCCTGAATTCAACCTTAAACTCTAAATTGATAGAGTCAAGATGGCGCAGTTGTCTTGTTCATTTGCAACTAACTGTAGAACCAAATGTTATTTTTCTCGCGCTGGCACCAGGCAGTCGTGCTACATGCCATCTCACCGATTTCAATGAAACTTTTCCAGTTTAAAGGGTCTACTCAAAACTCAAAAAGACAAACTGGTTTCTGTTTTTTTTTTTTTTTTCTGGGGGGAGATAGACTACCCCTTAGGTTTTTCTTGATTTTCACCAAGGAAATCGCTTCAAAATAGGTGTGTGTACGAAGCTCTCATTGCAATGCTATGTAACCAATTATTCTGAGAGTTTGCACACATATGTTTACATCTTTAGTTAATGTCCAACGCATGTATCAGTCAATTTGATAGACGGCTTGTCAATCAACAGAGGCATCCCATTCAGTTTCAAGGCGATTCGTTTCGAAAGGCGTTAGAAATCGTCGCGTAATAATTTAATCCGAAAGGCTTTTGTTCCTTGTCTGTGAATGACAGATAACTGTTAATATGACAATGATTATCATAACAATATTTGGATCAGTTTTCCTCAAAATAAGAAACGTTGGCAGAATATCTACTCTGACAAACTCGCGACAACTGATAATACATTCATTCAAAAAATGAAAATTTGATTTCTTTTCAGTATTAATTTTTTTCCTCAACCACCTTGAGTGTATCGGCAGCAAAATAGTTGTCTTAAGTACAGGTTGAATGATGTCTGAATTTTCTGCCCGAGACTTCTCTTAACATTTCTCGTTACGCTGGAGACTGTATGGGTCATTTAAGTACGAGATTTCATGAAAGTTGAACAGGTAATATTGTTTTTGAAAGATCAATACCTCCACTGAAATGAGACGAAGACTGATATCCGCCATATGCGTATTACTGAAGCGGTTCGCTGAAAGTTTGTCGGTGATATTTGAGCATGCGACAAGAAAGATTTGTCTGATAGAATGAAAAAACCTATCTTATTTCCAATCATCTTTGTTCTAATTCGCAACACGCACGCGATCAAGAGCTGCTTAGGTTAGGACAGCGTGTATGGTTGAAGCTTGATGTTTCATGTTTCAATTCTTAATCGCTTCTATTTGATCCCCTTTCCTTTTAACTGACCAGGATATTTTATTTTAGGGTAATTTGGAAAGTTGTCCACAATTTGTTGACATTTTGTACATATGCAAGGAAATAAATGAAACGATTCAGATACATAGGCGTATCTCATTTATACACTCCAACTTTTCCTTTTCCTGCTCATAGCTTATCATTTGTTTTCGCATTTCTTTCGGACGCGAAGTAACAAATGAATTATCACAAATACGATGGATGCTAAGATGGGAAAAATGAATGCGTTAGGGCGGAAATTCCAACCAAAGGTTATAGAAGCTAGAAGAAATATAGGTGGCTTCCTCTGGCTTAACACTTTGTTTAGAATAGGCTTGAAAAGGTAAGGCATTCTTTTCATTTTCCTTTTCATGCAGAAGACAGCAGTAATTGCATACGTTTGTACAAGGGTTCTAGTTACACATTCCACCGGAACAATTCGGAGAATTGGTACTCCTGGTCCAATAGCAGAGATCTGTGCAAGAATGCTGGATATGACCTTGTTTCCATTGAAAGTTATGGGGAATGGAACTATTTAAATCAAACTATCCAGACATTTAAAACAGGGGAATACTTCATTGGGCTGAAGAAAGATATATCGTCGGAAGAGTGGAGATGGTTAAGTGATAATAGCACAGTAAATGCGTCAAGGAAGGGAGTATGGCCTTGGGCGCGAAGTCAACCTAACAACCCAAACTCGGATCATTGCGCACAAATGTACAAGACGCACGGAGGCTCTGGTCGGTATAATGATGTGCGATGTGACTTAAAATTGAAACAAGCAGGATACATATGTGAGAGGTGCACTGAATGTACCGTTAGAGAAGGTTGGTTGAACAATCCACAAAGCTGACAGTATGACGATTGTAAATACACAGTGCTGTGATACGATTAAGCTATTCTAAATACGTTCTAACTTTGATAATCATAATTTGAGCATGCTATACCTCATTGGAGTTGGGAATATTCCGCTCGCCTGATTGCATCCCCACTGCAGCCCAAGCAGAATCATTAAATGCGCCGTCATAGCGGCTCGATTTATCGCAGTAGGAACAGAAAAATGAGAGCCACAAATGCATGATTTCACCTTTTGAATTTGATGGCCACAAGTTTATCAACACATTTACCAAATTCGCTCGTTCTTCCAAGAGCCTCATTTGGACCTCACTATACTATTTCATTAGACCAATGCTCGACGACTTCATGCGTAGAGTCACGTGACCCAAACAAAAGGAGAATAAATGGTCAGCGACTCAACCTTAAGAAACTCAAACAAATGCTTTAGGATGATCATGAAAAAAAAAAAAATTTAAAAAAAATAATTGTAATAATAATAATAATAATAGTAAGAAGAAGAAGAAGAAGAAGAAGAAGAAGAAGAAGAAGGAGAAGGAGAAGAAAAATAAAAATACATAGTGGGACCAGCCGCCATTCTCCTATTAGATTAAAATCCCGAAACCACAAGGACTACTATCCAATCAAACCTCAAGATAAAGCTCAAGGGACTTGTTATCAAAGCAATCTTTTTGCTTAGTTCTTTCAAATTTGTTGATGAAAAGAGAATTTAAAGTAGATATATCGTCCTGACTGAGGGGTAATGCGGGATTTTTTTTTTCGTCATTAACTGCCAAACCACATCGTAATTTGTTTTGAGAATCTCCCGGCGGTGTTGCGTAACAAAGAAGGCAGAGTTACCTTTTGTTTCTCTAAAGCACAGGTTACATAAGCGTCAGGTAATCTAAAGACACCAAAACCAAAAAAAATACAACGGATGACTTTCTTCGTGTAAGAACACTCTTCCAGCCTTTTCGTGCCTTGTTCCCCTTGGCTAAGTACTTATCAGCATCAGTTAACAATCTTTGGAATGATGAAACGGATTCGTTATTTGAAACTTGAAAATGGTTTCGTTTCTTTCTACAGCAGAGATACTAGGGGCGAATAATCAATCAAACACGACGCGCGTATAGCCGCTTTGACGTAATCGATTATACTGGAAGTCTAGTGGTGAAAATATGCAGCGACACTAGAGAATAAAAGAATTCACTTTTTAGGACTATGTATCTTTCACGTCTGGCGTAGAAGTGGGCTAAATACTACTGAATAATGTAATCATAAAATGGTTTAATTTATCACCTGAAAATCTAAACCAGCAATTAACAGAGCCTAAGATCATTTTCGTGTATACCACCTTGAAAAAAAAAGACAAAATTGGGATAGTCAATTCGTAAAGTGTTAGGTAAAAAAGATAAGATGAGACAATTAGGTTTCGATTTATTGGTATTTTTTGAGCATAGAAATGAAATAAACTGAGGTATTTAATACGTTCGTGGGTAGCTCTGAATGTAATGATTTCTACATTTAATTTTCCCTATTGCTCTGTGTCAGGGTCGACTCGAAGGCCACAAACGCTGGAGACTACTCCTTTTAAAGAATCAACAACAAAGGTGGGAAAAGTCTACACCCAACCAACAAATGCAAGACCTTCAACATTGCAAAACCGACCCACATTCAATCTCTCAACAAAAGGTACAATGTCACTATATCAATGTCGTCTACGTCTATATTACAAACGTGTGTAGGCTTCTACTTTTATGCATTTCTTAGTCCATGGAAATTTTAATTAGATTTCCAAAGTCTTAAGCTAGGAAAGATGAAATGAAACAATTAGGGTTCGATTTTTTTGATGTTTTGTGAGCATATAAATTGAGGTATTTGATAGGTTCGTGGGTAGTTTTGAATGTGACTATTTCTATTTCTATATTTTCTCTATTGCTTTGCGTCAGAGTCAACTCGATGGCCACAAACACCGGAAACTACTCGTTTTAGAGAATCAAGAACAAAGGTGGAAAAACTCTACACCCAACCGACAAATGCAACAATTTTTACACTGCAAAACCGACCCAAATTCAATCTCCCAACACAAGGTGCAATGTAACTATATCAACGTCGTCTGTCTGTATTATAAACGTCTTTACACTTCTAGTTGTTTTTAGTCATAATTTTATATTTGATTGCCATAGAGTTTCATTTCCTCATTTCGAATGTACCAATTTACAGCATGCACTTATGGGGAGTAAAATCTTACATTGCTCACTTTATATAACACCAAAATAATGTTATCACGAACGACACCTCCGTATTTCCCAAACCTTTGTTATAAACCAGCAATAAATTTTAGTATGCCAGTATGAAATATACCCCTATGCTCAGTCTAATAAATTATTCCACGAGTTGACCAGGGAAACGGAGGAGATCGATTTTAGAAAATGACGAAAGTAACAAAGGTGAAGATCTTCATAAAAATGTTTCGGGCAGAGAAGAGTAGAAATGTAACTTGTGAGTTTATAGAAAATTTGAACCTTTAATATTCTAATGATCGATCACAGTTTGTGAAAAGCAACATTCTATTTCGCTAGGTTATTAACTTTACTTTATCTATCCTTTTTTAGTTTTCAGTTCAATCAGCTTTCGTTTTTCAGAAAACCAATAGGATCAATATTTTTTTTCTTGTTCAGGGACTACGTTTGAGAATACCTTTAGTGAATCGTCATCGCAAAACGTTTCAACTGGCGAGTTAAACTTGGTGTTGATCGTCATAGTGCTTCTGGTCATTTTTATCATGGCCATTGCAGTCGTGTTCGGAATATTGTTTTATCGGCGACGCCAAAGTCATAAGAACCAAGGCAAGTTTCTTGCATCATTTACGAAATCTTTTTTTTTTTTAATTATTTTTTATTTATTATTATTTTTTTTAATATAATGATATGATGTTCGAAATATTGAAGCACGAAGTGGAAGTCATTCCCTTGTCTGGTATAGTACACTTCTGAGGTGATGTGAAGCCTTAAGGTTCTTTACAAGGCTAGTTCTTCCATCCAATGGCTTCCTTTTTTTTTATAAAGGAATGCATCCTTATTACACTCGTTTATTATTTATACCCTTATACCTCCTCCCCCTTCAGATTTCAGTTTTCAAAAATTGGAAAAATAGAATGTGCCGTTGTCTCGCATTTTCTCAGGTTTGTGGGACCAAAAAAATTTGGCTTAATAGCCCCTCCTCTCTGAGACTTCACTATTACATTAGATGGTCTTTTTCCAGTTTTCTTCAAATGTTACTTTTACTGAAACTTGATCCTTTGTGTTTAAGGCGAATTCTTCCACAAGCATTTTATGGTGCTTTTGGCTGTTTTGAAGACCGAAAATGTAGAGGAGTTTCCCAAATTTTTTCAAGTTTTTGATTCCCTGTGTGCACGCAGGGAATAACCGAGCTCTTTGAATACCTCTGGTTTTCTAGTCGATTTTAGTGAATATGGTAAACATTTGAATAAATAATCAACATATTTGGCAAACTCTTCCTGAGAGAGTAATAAAAGTATCAAGGGGGGAACAAAACACCTTACTCCCAACTGGAAATGTTATAATTATTTTGGAGGGGAGGGGTCTGTTTATTGCACATCGGAGGGTTGTTTATATTTTATCTTCGCGTTCTATTAACATGTAGTTTCTTCCCTTTTTTTTCGATTGGCAACGACGATGCTGATGTGTTTTATCACGAAAACAACGATACGGCAAGTAGTATACAGTAGTATACGCTAATCTTTAGAACTCCGTTAACTGATTTTTTTTTTTTTTAATGAACTCAAATTTTTTTTCCAGATTTTCAACATAGAAAGCCATAGAGTTTTTAAATAATTTTTTCCGGGGAAACTTAGTGTCTACGAAAATAATTTTAAATGACGAGAGAGCATTTCCAAATTAGCTTTGAGTTTAAGGTGCTTTGGATTGTAAAAATCAATATTAAAATGACACAGAGCAAAAACTGTTCAAATGCACCCACCAGGCTTTTTTTTGGTACATATCAAATTATAATAAGAATTTTTCTTATTGTCTCGACAATAAATTTTTTTACCATCTAGACCTCATATCTGACGAACCGTCATAACCTTTCCTCAATGGAAAATTTGAGTTCTATTTTTATTTGGTGCATCATATTTGCTTTTAAGTATACATGTGACTTACATCCCAAATAGTGTTACTTTTCTATTAAAATCGAGGGCAGAATACCACGCTACCCTAAAACGAAAGTGCAAAATGTGAGCTTTATGAATATATCCTAATATATTCCAGTCCCGCTAAGTGAGAGAGAATATCATTTTGCCTTACAGATCACCTTCAGATCACGCTCACGATCGGGTCACTTGCACCTATGAGGTGCCCCTGAGTTCCGAACTGCAATCGATCGATCCTGTGCTTATTCAACAAATGCAGAGCTCTGCCGAGCTTACTGTACACTTAACCCTTTCACAAACGGAATCTGTGCCGGCCACCTACGAGACAGTAAGCGACTGCAAAAAGGAGTGTGAGCGGGATAACATTGATGAGACTAATCGAAAGTCAAGGTCAGTAAGAGAGGGATATTCAGATACTCAAGAAAGAGTACGGGAAAACACAGTGTTGGTGAGTGGTGAGAAAGGAATACAGCAGCCACATACTCTGTGCGATAATAAAGAAGAAAACAAGGATCATGTTTACGCTGTTGTTCATAAAGAACGAAAGGGCAGAGCCAATTCTAAAGCAAGCACGCTCAGAACACCATCAGACCGCCCTCAAGAAGGAACAAGAGGGTCACCTGTGAACCGGGGTTCCTTCGTCGATTGCGTTGATCGTTCGTCGCATCCAACTGATTCAGGGCTCGGAAACAACGCAAAGGCTGCAGAGAGCAAAACACCACAGGTTGGCGGGAACATTGAATATTTGTACGCAGCTGTTGACAAGACAAAAAGGAAGAAGAAACCGCCACAGGTAATACATTTCACAAATCCGACCAACAATTTTTTTTTGTTTTGTTTTTTTAATGAAGACCTGTTTAGCCTTCAATGCTTTTGAATCTAAGGAAAAAATATTGACCCATTCATCTCTTCGATTCAAAATATAAACCGATGACAATGAAACGTGCAGCTGAAATAGGCAGATGGACTTGATTTTAAGTATCTAAAGGTTCTTCTAAAAACTGCACAGGTATATCAAAACTAACAGACAAACGAACAAAAATAAACCAAAAACAAATCAAAGCAAAAAGGCAACACTAATCTTGTCAGCTTATCATGTTCGTGTCATTTTTTCCTCATTAGCTACTATGTTGTTATTCGGTGTCACTTGTTTTACGAATTGCCCATACGATATCATTCACTTTTATGATCTAGAAGCCCTCTCCATACCGTGGTCTTGTGTACGCAGATATGGTCCATTCCCGAGAAAGTAGCGCAAAGCTCATCAAAGAACAGTCCCAAACCGTGTACGCCCAAATCAATCATGCCAAGACAGCATGCGTGATGATATCTCAGCAGAATCTGGAGGAAAAAGAGAAAGGCGAACATCAGTGAACTCTGTTCATTTCCAATCCTAAAAATAATTTAATGAAGAACATAAAAATCAACTCAAACCTTAAAGAAAAATGATAAATTGTCTTGGAAACAATAATCATTAATCATTTGTCTTGTCATTATAAACAACTGACTATTTTGGTAAAAATGATGGTGTCCATCATCCTCTATTATCTTTTAGAGAACTATTAAAACATATGTATACGTTTAAGAGTCTTGCATGTTCCCCAACCACCATTACAAGTTACCCTTTAGGATTAGTTTAACTACCAATTTTTACAAGGGTAAAATATTGTAACTAAATGTAATCTTCTGTAACAAGATACTTAGGATGATTTACTTTAAGGCACATAACAAACGGAAAAAAAAAACACAGTGTTACTTACAAGAGATAGGTTTTTTTTAGCGATTAGTTGGAAATCAGCGTACTGCGCTCGGGTGTACTGAAGGAAAATCTTTAAATTCTTTAAATCAAACGAATTTAAGACATTATAATCATCTGGTAAAGTATAAAACTTTGAAAATATCCTTAACTTCTTTTTCCTTTTTATATTTAAAATATATATTCCTAAGGTCTGTTGACGTTAATTAAACTTCAGCGTCAGCGTATTACTTGTTTAAACGGTTGTATTTTTAAATGTCGCGGTATGGAGTATCGTAAAACAAAACACGATCAAAAAATGAACAATTTGATTTAATCAATGGGAAATTTTATAGCGTGATTAGAGTGTTTGCGATAGATTAGTCCTATTAATGAACATGACACAACTATCGGTCAGTAAATTCTGGACGGAAGGTTACTCCGACAATGTTTTACTTTGTTTTAAATGTATGAATTACTTTATGTTTCAGTCACTAAGCTTTGAAATTCAAGCGACCACTTATCTTCCAAACTGACTATTCACGAAAAGAACATCAGTAACAACGGCTTAACTATCACAGCAGTCAAACGTCGGGCGTGCGTAAGGGGATCAATTTTCGCCGGCCGTGCGCCAATTTCCCGCTCAAAATTTCGAGGGAAAACTTAAAAAAGACAACTGCTGCCTCGCAAAATAGGCGAATGAATATTGAAACTTTCATAGAAATCTTTTAACCGCCTAAAAATGTAGTCGTTAAGTGCAGAAATTTAAAAAAAGTAGGGAAAGGAAAACTCCACTTTTTGATTATAACCAGTTTTATTTGAAAAAAAAAACATGACTTCCCGGTATGTGTAGCTGTTTGAAACCCGTGTGAAGCTACATTGATTTGACAACCTGAGAGCAGGCCACTTACTCACAACATGCACAAACGTGTGACTGTCCACTCGGTTGCGCCTCGTAAGCCACCTTATTGTTTCCTACCAAATTTTGTCGTTACATGTGATCTATTCCTAAACAGAGGCATGATAACGTGGAGTTCATTTGTTAATTAGATAGTCACAACTACAAATTTTCTGTTACATCTAACACTGTATGATGAAGTTAAAGACATCTATTTTTGGGCCAACACATGCCATAAAGCCCTTGTGTAGCTGACTGCATACCCCGCCTTAAGTTACCTTGCAGAGCGGCTCAGTTTAAACAGAGCACTCAAGGGGGAGGAGGGTGGCAGGAGTTTAGGAGGGTGGCGAGGGGAGTTAAGAGGGTGGCGAGGGGGAGGAGGGAGGAGGGAGGAGGGAGGAGGGGGAGGGAGGAGGGAGGAGGGTGTTTGTAAATAAAAGGAACAAGAACTGAGGAAGAACTTATTAAACGATCTATCCCTTAAAATAGCAATAACTGATTATGAGTGCCCTTAAAAAAAAAAAAAAACTCAGTCATAAAACTCAGCGTTCCTTGAAAAAGCCCTTTAAAAGAATTTCTGAGCTTCCCCACCCGTCCTTAACATAACCGTGGATTAATCCCCTCATTACCTTTAACTCACAGTCGTGGATATTACTTATTTTAGCTCTTTTTGTAGATCCCAGACTGTCAACAACAACTCAGAAGACAGTTGAAGATCCTAGTGACATAAAAACAAAGGATAGTCGCTCTTTTGGCCGCACTGTTCATCATCGCGTTGATCATCATTGGCGTGGTTTTAGTTTTGCCACGAAACAGAAAACCAAATAGAGGTATTCCTGTAATCATATATTTTGTTTTTCTGTTATTATTTTTTTAAGGTAGAATTTTAAAACGTTTTTAACTTTTGAACCTTTTCCTGGGGAAGAGACAGTTTAACCTAAGAGAGGAGATTAGGAACGTACGTGTGCGCGTGCGTCTTAACAAAGACATACAAACAAAGAATTTAGAACAAGCTGGATTGAAATATGTGCCAACAAAGGAAAATGACTTAAGACTTGCAACTTTAAACTCTGGCGCTGTTTTAGGCCTATTTTCTCTGTTTCTCATCTTTATTTTAATCAGGGTCTGAAGTGGTGGGCAGACTAACAGGAATTGTCTTGCAATTTAGGTAATGTTTTAGAGATCAGTGTTCTGGAGTAAGGTGATGAAGTCTTAGTCTGCAGACTAAAAATTACCTTCTTGTTGAAAGAGTGGCTACACACTCTGCCTTAACCTCTCCCTCCCTTAGTAAGACCCCCTCTCAAAAGAATTGCCTCGGCATCGAAATTTGAAAAACATGGTACAGTATCTGTACAAGATCAACGAAAATCTCAAGGTGAATCGAAATATTTTTTGTTTTGTTTTGTTATGTTTTTTATCATTTCCGTCTCGGGTTTATGTACGCATATGGTAGTACAATTAAAAATAATAGTCTAGCTATATATAACTAATTACACAGAGAACATTTGCACAACTTCCTCATTTCATACTTCCTTAAGCATGCAACACTGCAGATACCCAAGACATACCGTGCATTAGTTCTGTGATCAGAGCTAGAGAACTAAAACGAAGTTTCCTCAGGAAGTTAAAATTCATCAAAGTTAGTCGGTAAAGGAAACGAGGAGATTGAAAAAACACAACTGAAAAATCAGTCATGCTCTAAATACTTTGTGAGAAAGTCATTTTATTCTACAAAGCTGGTTTCATTTGTAGGTAGCAAAACATGCCAACAAAATATGCTCTTTGAAATCCATTAACTAGTTTATCGCCTTACGATATAACCTGACGATCTCAATCCCGTCGGCGAGGCATCTTAAGAACACCAAAAATATTCAACGTAATACTCCCCTGCTTTAACTGAATAAATCAGAACACTTTGTATCTTCTTTAATCTTTAACCTTATGCTAAAAGAGAAGCGACCGTGTGAGAGTTTGTGTTGTTTTATTATTCTAAATTTCTCTATTTCATATGCTTGTTCTTGGTTGAAATCGACTTGTTATTAATCTGTTTTTTTTACAGTTTCCTTGAAGCGTGATCCCTCTCAAAACTTCCGCTCATTCCAAGTCACACCTTGAGAGTGACCGGAATTGCGTCCATACCTTAATTGGTCGTCCAAGCGTAACTTTCACTTTCGTGACATTTTCAACTTTCTTATCGAAACATTGGTTTCGGACGATGAATTTAGCGAGGATACATGCATTAATCGTGCTTATAATTGATTTGTTATTGCCGAGAACTGGTAAATGTAGAGGGAATTGAAGATAATCCTTGCCTTCATGAGTTATGTTCATGTTATATCGTCGTGATGCTCATAGATCAAGTCTGATATTCATTACGATATAATGGTTAGTAGCTTCTAAACAAAAGCAAAAAATAAAGATAAATGATAAGATAAAAAGGGCCACGTGGAAGATCTGTAAAGGAGTCCTTTACCCCAAATAGAAACAGACCACCGAAATGGTAATTAAGTAGGATTATAACGATAAAACACGCCCCATTTCCACACTTTAACAAGATTATAACAATATAACATTTCAAGGTTTCGACCTCAATGTTCCTTTTTTAGTCTCAAAGCGAGTGTCAATAGGCAGCTTATTCCATCTATCTACTAAATTTACTGCCCCCATTACCTTCTTTGATGCGCTAAGTTTTGAATTTTCCATGAAGCATCAACTTGAAATGTAAATGTAGTTGATGGATACACTATAGAATCAGCCAAAGTGCGCAATGCAAAGGGTGCTGTGTCTGCGAAGCGTAGTTTTTCCGAAGAAATTTGACATATCAATTGAACGATGTTTTATCTCTGAATTATGAAACTGTAAGAGGCCGAAAACAGATGACATGTCGCGTAACACTGAAAGCGGAAATTTTTAAGGAAAAGTCGACTTGCGTTTCAATTTTGCGTGTTAGACAGTCGTGCAGTAAATTAAAAAAAAAAAAAAAGCATTAGGACAGTGTTCCTGTTTCATTCTTTTATTCTATACCTACCGGTAATTTGAAACTTTCAAGACTATTTATAGAGTAATCAAATTAGTCGAGTAAAGTTAATTTGAGTCACCCGATGCCGAGGCATCTGTTCTTTATGGCCAGGTAACACACTTAAAATAGAAAAGCACCTATAAAGCTATCAATCATGGCAATATAATTATTTGCATATATAGTTCCGCATAGGACAAGGATACCTTAAAATACCGCAAAATTACAAGATTTGTCTATGCCGACTTACAACTGCCTCTCAGTGTGTTCTCAAACATCTAAAACGAAGTTATCAGTGAATTGCATCATGATCTGGATATCAGGCACCTCGGTTCTAATTCTAAGACGCGGCTGTCCTAATATTAAACGCACGTGCATCTGTAAGGGCAAAGAGGGTAGTTTCTTTGGCAAAGTAATAACACCATGGCCAGTCAATTCTCCTCGATGAATCGATTATCACGAACACAGCACTAAGCAATTATGGACTACCTGAAGAATCAACTATGTAAAAACATATCTTTGAGCTCAAATGCTTTCTTGACTTGGCCCCGAAAATTAAATTCGATGAAAACGATAACATAAAAATATTTCCTGAAAATAAGTCGAATAAAATAATTTCAAGGGTTACAGTAGCTTTACTGAACTTAAATCATTCTTATGATAACATCGACATCCTTTACCAAATGTTTACTTGGGAACTAATAATAGGCTTGTTATAATGACCCTATATAGCCATTTTTGAACCATGGCGCAAAAGCTTCAGAACACATGAGGGATTTGTCGAAGTTTCCGATTAGCATACGAGCGGGAAATTTAAACGCTGAAGGTAAGACAGCGAAAAGAACATTTGAGGGCAGAAAACAGCAGCGAGAAAGTTGGAGGAGAAAATTTCACTTTCTCGCTCGACGGACTATCGAATCACGACTTAGCCGCTGTCAGAGTAATCTTTCATAGTATGAGAGTAGTTCAAATCTCGCGTGCGCTACGCAAGTCAGACTTAATTCTTTGTGTGCATAATAAGTAATGGTAATAGGACTGAGTGGAGTCCAATTCGGTCTGTAATCATACTAGTGATAACAAAACCGGTAGACCACGCAGCAGAAGTCCGGTTGGTAAAATTTCCGGACAGCCCCATACCACATTATGCATTCAGTTCTTGGATGGAGAAAACAATGACAAAAAGAATACATTTCCACTGGGAAAACAGATTTGTTTTACAATAGTATGGAGCTGTGCGGAAATTTTTACCGTCCTATTTGTTTATCACGAGCATGATAACAAACTGTCCGATAAAAAAAACAAAGTACGCAGAGAGAGGTTAAAAATACACCGAAATTTTTTTTTTCTGATTAGTCAGAAATTTTTCGCGTCGCTCCGGCCAAAGTTCTTCAGCGCTAACAATAACAAAGGGACTATTGGTTAACACTTAATGCTTAATTATCCTGCTTCATACCTGCATTTGACTTCTGTTAAGCATGGCATATCCGTTGTTTCCCTGAGCTGTTTGCAGCCACATGTTGCCTCCTTCAATTCCAATGACGTTATCATTTGGCGTCTGACCAAGACTCAGTCTTTTCTGGCAATCTCTGGTTTGATCGTTCGACATCATGTACACCTGGGAGGAGACACAACACGACAGTTCAACAGGAAAGAAAAAAGTATCCTATTTCATTACTCCTTTAGGTGGTTCGACTGCTTAATATCGCACATGTGAAGGGCTGTCATGTTTTAGCTTTAGCTCTGTTTGACCTGAAAGCACCTCAAGGCCTCTTGTCGCTGCCCTTATTGTTCTTTCTACTGCATACGTGAATTGTTTTCTTATTGTTATTGCGACAGTTTGGAAAAAAACCAGCTAAACACTCAGCCTAACGTATTTAAAGTTATGAGGCATTATTTTAAACATTTCCACGAGGAGTCTGTCTTCTCACCTTTACTTCCTGAGTACCTTGACCGTAGAAATCCAAAAAGAAAAATTTCTGTCATCATCGCAATCTTCTGTAATATGGTTCATAGCAGTGGTTATCAAGAAGATTATTAAGCAGATTGACTGCTCGTCGTCAGAGCATGGTGGGAGGAGGTCGTGAAGGGTCCTGCAGATGTTTGAACACATTTTCTAATATATAGATTTAGCTTAGCCTGAAAGCGAAGCTCAAGCTAGTTTCTTTTCCAGCCCCTCACTCTAATGAAACTCTTCAGCACAGGCTGTCGAAGTGGTTATTCCAGGGGATTTAGGGAGGGGTTCAAAATATGTAAGCGATTTATTTATTTAATTGTTTATTATTACTTATTTTTCCTCGTTTCTTCCGACCGACTTCGCGGAGTCATGTGAATTACGTATTTTAAGTTTTAAGTAAATATGTTTTATATTTGTGATCGCAAAATTTCTCGCTCGTTTCTTTTCTCCCTTCGCGGGGTCCCTCTCTTGAGCTCTGTGAATCACCCAAACATTTTCGCTAAAACTGGGTTTCCTTACATTGAGGTACTTATTCATAAGTTATTGTATGACTGGGGCAAATAATATCGTTCGTCATACCAGGGACCTCGTTCTAAAAATGCTCGTGAAGTTCTGGACGTTCTCTGAGCAAATTTGACAATATTAGTAATGAAATTATTAAAACACATCCAACAAAGATTTTTCGAAAAAATATTTCCATTACCAATAACCCACTGAAACACGCGTAAGGGAAATAGAATCATGAGAGAAAGTGCCGAGGATAGGAAACGCGCGGGCTAACATCCTGGTATTTCTGCCAATTGAAGAAAGACGGGAGCTCCTACGAGCACGAGATGGAATTAATAATGTTGTCATAAATTTAAAAAAAAACAAACAAACAAATCAATCAATCAATCAAGAAAGATATTTCGCAAATTTGTTGAACTCTTGACAAAGACCCTTGAACGTTTGCATTTTACCTTGGACTCTCAACCAAAACCTACACTTAAAAAAATATACTCGCCTTTCCTATTTATTTATTTATTTATTTTTATTTGTTATTTATTTATTTTCTGCCAACACTAACAACGACGACAATGGTGAAAATTAGTTGGTGACACGATTTTGGGGATTACTATGGAAATTATATTACACTAGTTATAGTTCTCACTAGAGCTGCCCCCGCCCTACAGTACTATTTTCTTTTTTTTTTTTTTTTTTGAGTTGGGCTTGTTGTTTACAGTTGTGTAATTTTTCTGTTATGCTGTTACGGAATTGCGGCTCAGTACTTTGGTGTTAGGAATTTTTTTCTCAAAATACTACAAGTGTACAAAATGTAGTTTTGGGAAGTGCTTGGGGTTTTTTTTTTTTTGCTGTGTGGTTTAACTTAGGATTTGTTTGTTCTTCACGATCAAGAAGAAGCAGAATGTAGGGACTTGGGTGAGTTTTAACATTGGAATGTTATAGGTGGCATTGGAGAACAATTTATAGACAGCATTGAAGAACAATTTATTATTATATAGTTATTAGACACAAAATTATACCTTAAGAGGGCCTACATTCTCTCTTCTCCAGTCTTCCTCTATACTAGGACAAATCTCGTGTCAAAGACACCGATCCTAAAAGTCCTCGCGCGCGTGTCTTTTTACTGGCAGCCCATGACCATTTGCGGGAAAAACGTTGATACCTTGCGGCCGTGCAAGCGATCAAATCGAGATTTTTTCTGGTTATGATCTACCGAAAATACCCACATTCTCTCTTCTCCAGTCTTCCTCTATATTACACGGGGAGTCCTAAGGTGCCTCCTCGGGTTTTTGGCCCTCTGGGGCCAAAAACCCTGCGGGGGCAATTAAGTAAGTATGCACCAGATTACTAATATATTTTAGTGCACTTTTAGAACTTCTGCATATCACCGAGTATATTGAGAGAAAAGGTTTTCTTTCAGCCTCCCAGTTATATTTGGCAAACTATTGTCCCGGAAGCTATTAAAGCATTTGTATCCAAAATGAAAAAATAAACAACGCAACAAACTGATCATATGAGAGAGACAATGAAAAGCACCTCGGTGTGTCGCTTTAGCCGGGTTTCACCTGTCTCCAGGACAGCGAAAAACGGTCCTTAAGTTACAGTTACCCACGGCATTTTGCGTATCATGGTCCTCGTTACGAAAGCGAGGTTCTGAGATTGAAGTATGGTCGGAATAAGATATAGCAGTACCTGGGTGCATAGTGAAAAAAAGTAACTGATTTCACAACGGCTGAGTAATTAAAAGTAAAACTGATGATCCCGAAAAACAGCTGTTAGAGAAATTATCAGGGTAAAAACAAACCAAGTAAAATTTTTTAATAAGCAATTTACTGCTTAAAATTTCAGTAAACCTAATTTCTTAATTCATAGATGACGTTTAGACAGGCCTTCGAAAGGCCTTCAAGCTCTGAACAGACATCACTCGACCCTGTGCAAGTTCAACAAGCACAGAGCTCCGCTGAGCTTACTGTTCACCTGACCTTTTCACGAACGGAATCTGGGTTGACCACCTACGAAACAGTGAGCGACTGCAAAAAAGAGCGCGGCTATGATAACGTTGAGACTAATCGAAAGTCGAGTTCAGTAAGTGAGGGGCGTTCAGGTATTCAGGAAAGAGCACGAGAAAACACAGTGTTGGTGAGTGGTGATAAAGGAATACAGCAGCCATCTACTCTGTGCGATGAAGAAGAAGAAAACAAGGATCATTTTGTTCATAAAGAAAGAAAAGGTAGAGCCAGTTTTGAAGTGAGTGCTCGCGAAAAAACTCCGGGCCGCCCTTATGAAGAAACAAGTGATTTACTTGTAAAACGGGCGTCTTGAGTAGATCTTAAATGTCAGCCTCCATCTCTGACACAAGAGAACCGTTCGTCCCATCAAACTGAATCAGGGCTCGAGAACAACACCGAGGCTGCAGGGAACGAGACACCTCAGGCTGGCGGGAACATTGAATACTTGTATGCAGTTGTTGACAAGACAAAAAAGAAGAAGAACCGCCACAGGTGAAACTTTTCACAAATCCTAACAAAAGTTTCTTTTTTCGTTTCTTTTGGTTTTCTTTTGGTTTTATTTTGTTTTTATTTTTTGGCTTCTTTTTTTTATATATGACGCCCTGTTTCTTCTTCAGTACTGTTTGATAAAGGAAACAATCTTAATATAAATATTTACTTCTTCGATTCATAATCTCTACGTTGTACGTATGATAATCAAACGTACAGCTGCAGCACGGCAGCTAGACTTTTGTTGAAGTATCTAGAGGATGGTTTCTGTCCTGAAAAATACAAATCGAGAAATTTTAACTGTTAGCCGAAAAAAGAAACCGTCAAATGTAAACTGGTAAAATTGTTAATTTGATCACGAAGGAAGGAAGTTAGTCGCGAGTGCTGTCATCCCACTGTGACCCTCGTAGGTAAAAAGGAAACTCCAGACTTTTCGAATGCAACGGGTTGATCTTAAAAAACCATGACTTCCCAGATGTGTAGTTGTTTGTGACTCGTGTAAGACTAAAGTGGTTTTACAACCTGAAAGCGCACCAAGTCATTTTACACAAGCACAAACGTTCGACTGCTGTGTTCACACGGCTGTGCCTCGTGAGCACATTTCGTCGTATTATGTGATATATTCCTAAACAGAGATTCGGTAACGTGGAGTTCATTTGTTGATTACATAATCACAACTACAAACTTCCCGTTGCGTCATACACTGTATTATCGATTCCGGCCTTTCTCCCAAAGTTAATGATCAAAAGTAGATTTGCGTAAACGTGTGTCAGTTGGTAGCGACAGTGTATCGAGTTTTCATGCTAGGAAGAATAGGTCCAACTCTTTCTAGGGATCGTAAAGTAGCAAATATAATCGATTATCAATGGCTTATCGATGGATAAGCCTGAGGCAATGATCAAAGATTCTTGGTCATGGGAAATTTCACGCTGTCGCGAACATGTTTAAAAAAAAACAGTTAATGTGAATACGAGCCGTGTAAAATCACCATGATCCAGTCCGTTCAACACGTTCTTTGTTCCTCAGAAACTTCTCAAGACGGTCTCAGACTTTTATTTTTTCCTTGTGACAAATAATCGTTTTCCGCCTTCATACATTCCCTCTTCCCTTCTTGTATGACCTTTTGACCTAGTTCCCTGTTTCAACTCCATGGCTAATTTACAAGTTATCGCCAGCAACCTGCAAGGATTATGAACAATTAGGACAATAGATTGGAGAAGCAAAAATAGAAAATTAAGGACATCAGAGGTAGGTGGAGCTTTATCAAACCACTTCCTTAATCAGTTCACGTGACACTACAAATCAGAAATCCCGCAGAGAAGTAAATAGACAAAGATATGAACAGGCCCTCAACAAAAGGAAATGGGCCATCTTGTCACATAGACTAAAAAAATTAGTAAGAAAAAGATAATTGTTTATATTTTGGAGCGCGGGGAAGTCGAGAACGCGTTCATTCGACAATTTTTAATAGGAATGATCCGATCACCCGTCTCGCTCTACCGCTCTGATTCGTAAAACGCTCTGGTTCAAATCATGCTATCAACACTTTTCTGTGAGACGCGAAATGACTGTTGATAGATTGCCATATCACATTTTGTTTATTCTGATCGCTGTGTGAGGGTATTTATCTGGTTGACTCAGTGCTGAATCTTTAGAAGAATCTCAAACATTACTTTGTACAATCTTTCGGAGAATAAAGTCTCTAACCGAAATATTTCCGGAAAATTTGATTAAACAAGTTAAAAAAAAAAAAAAATATATATATATATATATAGGAAGTCTGCAGGTCGATTTTCGCGTGGAACAGTGCTCAATACGTTGAAGTAGAGCAGAATAAATATTATGAGAGGAAAAAACGACGCAACTACATATCCCGACAAGCCTGTTTCGTGAATCGCTTCACTCTTCAGGGGTTTAATGAAAGAATATTCATGTGACTATCGTTTATATACTAGTCACATGAATATTCTTTCATTAAACCCCTGAAGAGTGAAGCGATTCACGAAACAGGCTTGTCGGGATATGTAGTTGCGTCGTTTTTTCCTCTCATAATATATATATATATATATATATATATATATATATATATATATATATATATATATTTGTATACAATTGAATAAATAGATGGATTGCGTGACTTTATTAAGATTGATTGAAAATCAAGAAGTCTGAATTTAAGTCATCCGACAAAAAAAACCAAATTCCTGAATATAGCTTACACGTAAGTATCATACTCGAACGAAAGCTTTAATTCATCAAAATCAGATTACGCATCAATTTATTTATTTATTTAGTTGTTTTGGTTTGTTTGTGTCGCGTTTTTTCATCGCTGAAGTGATAGTCAGGAGGAAACCCAATTTACTGACGAAGTGACCGTAATCACTTTCATATACATGTCCCTATGCACGTAGGTTTAAATTTCTCTTGAAATGCTCGAATATTCTTGTTTCAAGGAATACCAGGACATATTTTGTATTAATTTGGTTCTCATCTTTGATCTTCTTTGATACACTGAGTTCCGCTCTGTTAGATCATTTAGAAGACGCCCAGACATTACGTTGATGTCCAAATTGGATATAGCGGTAAACAGTTGAAATAAGTTTCGTAAATTTCCACTGACCATGGACATGAATGAGGAAACTTTTTCCTTAATAGTGTTGCAAAGTTTCCCAGACAATGCGCGACCCTGACGACCTCAACCCCCGTCGACAAAGCCTTTAAAGAACAATCCAAACAATATTCAGCAATGTTGTATGGGCGAGTCACTCTCACTATCCTTTCCGTAATACTTCCGCTGTATCATCCTCAGTCCCACCTTGAGTGACCGAAAATTGCGTCTATATCTTGATTGGTCGTCCAAGCGTACCTTTAATGCACTTTGGTTACGTTTCAAATACCCTCATCCAAAGCATTGAACGATGGATTTAGCCAAGGTGCTGGTGTTGATTCTTCTTGGAGTCAATTTGCTACTGTCGGGAGCAAGTAAGTGTGAAAGGAATCTTTTATAATTCTAAAGTTCATAGTGAAGGGTGAGCTCTCGATCGAATATATAGTTTCATTATTTAGTTGTTTTCTGGATGGTGGCACTTGATTTTAAACTATTTTGACCATCAAACTGATTAAATTAAACGCTTCATTTTCGTGATGAATCGAGAGAATCGCGAGATAAACCTCAGGGTACAACGCGTTTTGACCGATTATAACAAGCATTTATCAAGAGCGACGGATATGGATTGCATAGTTTTTTTTTTTTTTTTTTTTCTTTGAGGAAGAACTAAGCGATGATAGTGATCAAATTTATGCACGTTGAATAATGTTGATTTAACTAACATATTAAAGAACCCTACATCCTCCAATACCTTTCATCTAGCTATAGCTTTAAAGCTGTTTCCCCTATGTCTATCGTGTCAGTTTGGATGTGTTGCATGAGAAATTAATGGATTTATACTGAATGTGCTGACTTTTACTTTATTCGATGTTTTAATATATTACTGCTCTTGCTTGTTCAAGAGAAAACTGAGTGAATTGGAAAGATTCAAAACAGTGTTTAGATCATTACTTCGGCTTTCCAAAGGAAACGCCTGAGTTGAAATTCCGGCTTCGTTTTTTTTTTTTTTTTTTTTTTTTGTCCAGTCGCAAATAGCAATCAAGTCCTTAACACGAATGCGCGACGTTTTAGCTGATAAGCAAATGCTAGGGTGTAACAACGGAAGAAGTGCGGTTTTTGCGGTCAAAAATCAGCACAGATACTGAGTATAATATGCTCAAAACGTATACAAAAATATGCTCTTAGCGTTCGCAGCAGACCCACAGAAATGCAGGCACAAAACCTAAGTTTCTTTCCGACAGGAAGCCCGAGCAAGCACAAATATGCGTCTAGTTATAATGTAACTTTTAGCGCCCGACAAGGACATTGAATATGTGAATCAAATACCTACTCCTGAGTATGTTAATGCTTGAGTGGTCCGAATCCATCCGAAAATAACTGTAGTTAAAGTATATATTTGGGAGATTGTGTTGTTTTCTCATCTTAAATTTCACTTTTCATTCTCTTGTTTTTGATTGAAATCAACTTGTCGTAAAACTAATAATATTTCAAAGTTTCCTTGAGGCGCGATCTCTCTTAATACTTCCGCTGTATCATTCCCCATCCCGCCTTGAGTGACCGGAAATTGCATCTATATCTTAACTGGCCGTGCAAGTGTACCTTAAACGCACTTTCGTTGCGTTTCAAATATCCTCATCCAAAGCATTGAACGATGGATTTAGCGAAGGTGTTGGTATTGATAAGTCATTTATATAACTATTTGTATAGCTATTTTGATCATTAGACTGATTAAACGCTTCACTTCCGCGATGAATCAAGAGAATTGCAAGATAAACCTCAAGGTAGAGCGCGTTTTGATCGATTATAACAAGCATTTATCAAGAGCGAAGGTCGAGCAAGGATGGGATTATTTTTTTGTTTGTTTGTTTTTGAGACGGAACTAGTAGATAGAAGAGATAAAATTTTTGTATATTGAATAATGTTGGTTTAACAATCATATCAAAGAACCCCACATCTTTCAGTAGCTTTCATCTAGTTGTAGCTTTAAAGCTGTTTCCCTTGTGTCAATCGCGTCAGTACGGGTATGTTGCATGAGAAAATTGATGGATTGATACAATGTACTAACTTTTATTTTATTAGCTGTTTTGATATGTTACTCTTCTTGCTTGTTCAAGCGAAAACTAAGTGAATTGAAAAGATTCAAAACAGTTCTAGATAATTAATGTAATATTTAGTGCCCGACAGCGACATTGAATGTTAATGCTTAAGTGGAC